GGGGGGGCGCGAGAAGGGGAGAGTAGAAGGAGATGGGAGAAAGAGAGAGAGAAAGAGGAGGGGAGAAGAGGACATGGGAGAGCAGGAAGGTTGAGCCAGGGTAAGAATAGAGAAAAGGATGGGAAATACCAGAAAAGAGGGAGCCAGTATAAGTTGGAGGATTTGGCACTAGTGAGATCTTCACAGATCTACAAGAATGACACTAACTGGCATTAGCGCTACCTTAAATTCCCTCCCATGATAATTTAAATCTAAATTTAAATTGTCTTGCTTTCTCTGGGTTACTTTGTTCAATGTCACATTCTCTTAAATAGTGTAAGAATTATTTAAAATAGATGACTGGAGGAAGTCTATCCACTAAGTAAAACTTAATAAGATCTGAAAACAGGGCAGAGTTCAGTAATGATGCCTGAAATATACACCCTATACTTTTTGGATTAGTTAACTTTTTGTTGTTTACAAATGATGATATAAAAACCTTAAACAATGGTTTAATTTTACATCTTTATTCTTATTTTTTAGTGTGTGTGTGTGTGTGTGTGTGTGTGAGAGAGAGAGAGAGAGAGAGAGAGAGAGAGAGAGAGAGAGAGAGAGAGAGAGAGAGAGAGAGAGAGAGAGAGAGAGAGAACATGCCCACAGAGGCCAAAGAGAGCTTTAGATCTCTGAGTAGTTATGAGCCTGGGAATGTGGGGGTTAGGAAACAGCCTCTAATCCCTGAAAAAGCAGCAAGTACTTTTAACCATCTCTCCAGCCCCTAAGCAGAACATTCTAAAAAGCACTTTGAAATTTTTTTATTTTACATAATGGTGAGGACATCATCATCTCAATGACCTTGGGTGTGGAGGCTAACCTCTGTGTGACAGGAAAGGAGCTGGGATTGTGCTATCCTGTGGAAACACTCTTGAGTCACTGAGTCATGTCTACTGTTCTGGCTTGTGATGTTCTAAGCTCAAACAAATGTGTGTGTTCTCCCAACTTTATTTTCCTTTCAATTTATTTGAATAATTACTAATGGTAACAGAATCCATTAAATCTATTATGTTCTAGCCATATTTTATAAGTGTTACAGCTTTATTGTTTTTTGAGATACTTGCAAGGTACACATTATTGCTGCCTTTATTTTACACACAGGGGTGTACTTCATGCCTTCCAGTAAGTGGCAAAGCTAGGCTATTAATAGAAAGTTCCTACTTTGAGCCTTTCTGGGCTCACCTATTACCTTGGATATTTAACTTTGTTGGATTTTGAGGAATTTACTGATGCTTGGTGAAAGGCACAAATAGCAAGGTGTCTAAACATATGATAGGCTCATCTTTAGACACTAGTTATTAAAGGAATATTTTCAAGGAACTGTTTTCTCCAAATCAGATTTTATAGTGGTACATTGACTTTCTGAGACTCTTAAAGTTAAACAAGAGTTGACAATATGGAAGCAGATTTTTCTGTTAGATTAGCTCTTTCACAATTTGTGCTTTGAAACTAGGTCACTCATTTTCACGAGCTTGGTTCCCATGATTCAATGTGGAAATACAAAGGCAATATTCTTCTCATTAATAATGAACCAGGGATGTTTTTGCTTATTTTAAGTTCTTTTTGAAGCCTACAACTGATAAAAAGGGCACAAACTTTCACACGCTAATATCTATAGAAGCCAGCACAAGAATTCAAATGAACAATTGTGTTTGCAAGCTGTGAGTCTAACAAAAATCCAAATATGATATCTTCTCATTCCTTTATAATTGTTTAAGGACTAGTTTCCCACTGAAATTCCTCATAACTGATTTCTATAGGAAAACATGACAACGTGGTCAGGGCATACCTCTGGTCCTCAGCTTCCAATCTACCACTTCTCCCGAGCCCAAGCCCTACCACAGAGACCTCTCACGTGTGAATGTAGACTCTACAGACCAGATGACAAGGCTCTTCCTGCCACACAGTATAGGCACAGTTCCTCTACCATCTACTGGCTGTACTGGCATCAGTAGTGAATGCAGTGGTAACCTTGGACCAGAGGGAAATACTTGGAGAAGTTCAGGTTAGCTGTGGAGGCAGACCATGGTACCTGAGTAGAGGGTACCATAGACGATATAAATTATGTGCAGTCTGAAAAGCTGGGAGTTTTATTGACTTATCAATTAAAATAATCTTAGTGTAAGAGAACAAAGTTTTGGAAAACTAAAGACGGAGTACAAAAGTCCTTGTGTTGCAGAATATAATTCTACAATCCCGAGCACCAACTTTTCTAAAGGAAAGTGGGTGACAGAAGAGGGCTTGTTTCAATCCTCTTGGTCCAAAAAGCTGGTAGCTTTGTGTTTACACAGTGTGTCTGGCTCAAACACAGCTCCATTTCAACCTTTCTATCAGCCTACATACTGCTCCCTGATAGGCAGGCTTTTTATAATTATGTTATCATCAGTCATCATCCTATATTCCTTGATAGTCATCATTAACAAAGAACCTCTGGGGAAATATTGAGTACAGAGAGGGCAAGGTTTCCAGTACTAGGGTACCACTCTCCTACCTCAACCGCCCTACTCAGAAGTCTTCCAGGTTTGCTGCTGTTGTGTGAGGAGTCTTTCCACAGTGATGAATATATGCAAACACTTTCTTAAGCATAAATCCCAAGGACAAAAGTGAAATCTACTTTTCCAACATGGCTGGGGCGTGGGGATTGGGAGGAGAGGAAAGAGGGGAAACTATGGTTGGAAGTAAAACAAAGAAAAAACTATGATATGATTGAGGTTATTGCAAAGTAGTAATTGCTCATGGACTAGAACTAAAATACAAACTAATAGCTGGTAGCGGACATTTTTAATCGCTAGTAATCAGGGACTTTTTCGGAGATATATAATAAATAGGCAATCATAAAGCTGGATTGGGGCTAAGATGGGGAAATATAAAAATGTCACTAGACGTTTATCATCATATTATTTAGTGAAAAGAATAAATGTCCTCCCATAATCAGAAAAGGGCTGAAGGAACTTTACATCAGCGCTAAGGCAGATGACTGAGTACAGTCCCCAGAACTCACTCTGGGAGGAAGTACCAACTCCTGAGCTGCCCTATGACTGCCACACATACAGTGTGGCACATGTGCCTGCACACTAACTCAGATTGTGTTCACACACATGCTGACAATAAGTTAGTAAACTTCCAAAAGAGCTGGATGAATGTTTGAGTGAAAATGTGTAGGGGATTCCTAGAGTTGGGGCTTCTAAACAGATGCTGTAGAAATTAAGTAAAGCCTCCGTGTAATTTGACTAAACCTTTCTGAGGAGAAAAATATTAATTTTGTTGCTAAACTTAGTTTTCTTGGCTGACTGTGGTGATCCATTTTATGAAAATACCTTACATCGTAGAGACTGTAACTTTTTTCTAGACCTCACAAGCGCAGTTCACATTACACCTTGAGGTCACGTGAGACAGATTTCCTGCTGTGAGCTCAGCCTGTCCTTAACCTGTTGCCTTTGGGAGAACAATGTAATGACCAAACTTACCTGCCTTACATTTCCCAACCTTTAACAACCTAAAGTTAATGCATAGCTTGAATCTTAAGTTATGAATTGCTGCATGCCTCTGACTCACAGCAGAGCAGCATATGTGATGTGCGTGTGCGTGTGTGTGTGCGTGTGTGTGTGTGTGTGCGTGTGCGTGTGTGTGTGTGTGTGAGCACAAGCATGTGGGTGTGTGTGCATGTGTGTGTCATGGTAATTTTCTGAAAACAGCCAACAGGTCAAAAGCAACCCTATACAACAAATATCTACCTTAAATATTTGAAGCTGCATACCAATGTTTCTTGATATTAGTATATTAGTTTACTATATTGTTTGTTGTGTGAGTCAGTGGGAATTGTTGGAATCTGTAAGTTATTCCCTTATAAAACTCTGTGAAAGAATTGTGAAGTATCCTTCATTCCTTCCTCTTATTGTGCTTTCTGTGTTAAAAAAAAAATAGAACAAAGCCCTTTGTTAAAGACACTCAGGCAATCAGTACAAATCAGGCAAAGAACAGGCAGACTGCAGAGAAGCCAGAAACCTCAAACTACAGGACTCACTCTTGTTAAATTTAAACCAGGGGAAATGCTTAGCTTTCTTTCCTCAATAGGATGGGGATGCGTTTTGGTGCTTCTAAGGCTATCTTTAATGCATTTGGCTTATACGTTAATAATGGTTTTATAATTAATATCAAGAAAGTTAATTAACAGCCCTGAGATCATTTCTAAGAAATGAACTTAAATAATACTGCCTATGACTCAAAGAGTGTTTGTAACCCAGAGGTTACAACTTGAGCACCTCAGAGATAGTGAAGGTGCTCTGTTCTATTTTTCTATTCTTCTTTGGAATTAAACAGTAGTACTAGCAACTTGCCCTCCCAGTGAATGAAGGTGCTACTTCCAGAGAAGGCTCTACAACAGAATGCTAGTACACCCCATCATGCCGGCATTCCTACCTTCTCACATGTAAACTTTGTTTATCAAACTGACCTGAGCTTTTAAAATTTGGCAGTGCAGAACACAGTTCCCTTCTGAACACTAGTGCAGAGGGAGTTTAATGTTTTTAGGCTTTACGGGAAAGTGGACAAGAGGAACTTGCTCTACTTCAAAAGAGACTGTGGAAAGACAGCATGGGTAGGTGTGTCCTCACACTATGGGCTGTTAACAGGGGCAGACAAAAGGGAATGTAATATCTTTTGCCACTTGAACAAAATTAAGCATCAAAATAAATTTATGAAATGAAGACTTGCCAGGGTCAAAAGTGTAGCGAGTTGATCACATAATTAATGCTTTTTATCTGTCAGCCAGTAAATGCTCCTGAGGCACAGCCTCATAGTAACTCCCAACAAAGTCGTTCATGTCTCACAACTATTATTGCAAGTAATTTTTCTATAATTTCTATGCTGTCTTCTCTTTGATGCCCAGTCTCTAAAGTGGCTTCCACATATGCACAGGTGAAAGTAAGAGCATTCCAAGGCAGGGCACTTTTTAGGACACCTTATACCTCTCATCCCTTCACAAGGCCATGAGAGGTCACCTGCTTCCTTCTCAGCTTTTCTAGAGCTCGCTTCATATCTGCATTTCTGAGTGTGTAGATGAGGGGGTTCAGCATAGGCGTGATCACCGTGTAAAACACAGAGACCACTTTATCCACAGAGAAGGCACAGAATGGCCTCAAATAGATGAACACGCAGGGCACAAAGATCAAGCTGACCACCGTCAGGTGAGAGGCACAGGTGGACAGGGCCTTGCTCTGGCCCCGATGGAGGTGAGTTCTCAGAGCCAGCAGGATGAGAGCATAAGAGAAGAGTAGGACCAAGAAGCAGGCAAGAGACAATATGCCACTGTTAGAGACCATCAGCACCTCAACCAAGTAAGTATCCATGCAGGCCAGCTTGATGACCTGGGGGACATCACAGTAGAAATTGTCCAGTTCGTTGGGACCACAGAAAGGCAGCTGGATGACGATCACGAGCTGTGTGATAGAGTGGATGAAACCTCCACACCAGCAGGCAAACACCAACTGAAGACGCAGGTGGTTATTCATGACTGCCAGGTAGTGCAGAGGGTTGCATATGGCGACATACCTATCGTAGGCCATTACGGTCAGCAGAAACATCTCACTGGCTCCCAGAAAGTGAAGAAAGAAGATCTGGGACAGGCATCCTGAGAAGGATATTGTCTTCTCCTTCTGTAGGAAATCTCCTAGCATTTTGGGTACAGCAACACAGCTCAGGCACAGGTCTATGAAAGACAGATGGCTTAGGAAATAGTACATGGGTGACTGGACCAGGCGAGCATCAGCCTGTACCACCATCACTATCAGGAGGTTTCCCAGGACAATAACAACATAAATCAGTAAAAATGCTAGGAAGAGAAATAACTGCAGCTCCCAGGAAGACGACAGGCCCAGAAGTACAAACCGTGAAACCTCAGAGATGTTTTCACTCCTCTTCCAGACAAGAATGTCAAACAACCTAGTGTAAGAAGAATTAAACTGGAATAAGTTAATTAAATCAGACAAAAATGAGAAAGCATTTCTTGCTCATCTGTATGTACACTGTGTAGCAGGTGTTCAATAGCAGTAAAATGGAAAGAGAATGCTTCATGAATGGTGAACTCCTTTTCCTACAAAGGTGTAGGTATCCCCCCCACCTCTGACCCCCATTATCTCCCCCACCCAATAGAGTTATTCCATGGCCAGGGCAGTAGAAGCTGTGTATCCAGAACAGACAATGTTCTGTCTTAAACCAGCTCTGGAAAAATACAAAATGAGGCAAGATTTGCGTTTTATTAGGATATATAGGTTTTCATACTTTAAAAAGTATTGCATTTTACTTATTTATTTTGTGTGGCTGTGTGTATGGATGTGTGTGGGTACATGTGTGCTGTGTGGAATTCATGTGAAGGTAAAAGGCAACTTTTGAGAATCTGATTTCTCTACCACGTGGGTCACAGTGAGATAACCCAGGCATGGCAGCTGGCACTTTCACCTGCTTTCTGATCACATTGGTCCAAGATTTGTATTTTCTTATTCCTGCTTATTACCCACTCAGTATTGTAGTGATTTTGAGAAATTCAAAGAATTTGGTCAATAAAAATCATTTACACTAGATGTAAAAAAAATTGATACAGAACATGCAGAAAGGTATCCTAATTTCTAAAAGAAAAACAACTTTAATAACAACAAATCTTTCTTCAAAATAGTGTGTCAATAACAAGCAGATGTGAGGAGGATTTTGGGTTGACATAGCTTTGGTTGCACCTTGGCCAAAGTGACTGTCTTCCCCTCTAGGGAAATGTCCAAAATCCATCTAACTCTAGAGTTTAGAAGGTCATGGAAGCAATTACCTCACTTTATAGAATAAGCGAGAAAATAAAACAAAGGAAAAATATTTTACTTCATGTGTGCAGACACCTTGAGTTGTTACTTCATGTGTGCAGACACCTTGAGTTGTGCTACACTGGATTCTTCAGTCTTCCTTTGGTGTAACAAGAATGAAAATTTTCCTGAGCAAGGAGCCTCTTGATTCTTTTTTGGTTATTGTTGTTGTTGTTTTCTGTGTGTGTGTGGTTTTTCATTTTTTGAAGGGGAGTCTAAAGTTTTCAATTGCTAGGAATCAAGTATTTATTATAAATATAATTTCTAACACGGTATTGTATAAACTAGAAAATCTAATAATAAGTATATAGTAAATAACATACACATATAATTTATATAAACATACATATAAATATATATATATGCATTCAGATTTGTGGGTCTATGAGATGATTGCTGTCAAGTTCGATGAGCTGAAGTCAATCCCAGGACCCACATGGTGGAAGAAAGAACTAACACTTGCATATTGTCATCTGACCTCTGTACATGTGCCACATATACCCATCCCACACACAGACACACATTCACACACAAAACAAATAAAAACTGTAATTTACATTTCTATACCAAAGAATTCTCTGTGAGGTTTGCTCCCTATAGAAAGGTGTATTTTTTTTATTTCAAAAGTGTAAGTCAGACCAGGCGTTGGTGGCACACGCCTTTAATCCCAGCACTTGGGAGGCAGAGGCAGGCGGATCTCTGTGAGTTCGAGGCCAGCCTGGTCTGCAGAGCTAGTTCCAGGACAGCCTCCAAAACAATACAGAGAAACCCTATCTCAAAAAAACAAAAAAAAAGGTATAAATCTACAGAGAGATGACCTTGTATTAAGGTAGATAAGATTGAAACTAAACCATAAGGGTAGATTTAAAAAGAATGTATAAATGTATTAAAGTCCACATGACTACAAACCATTTTAAGCCTTAGTTAAGGATCCACTTTTTCAAAGTTATATTTAATCTTAAAGAATTTCGATGCTGTTCATATTTAGATAGCTGCTAAATTTTATTGTAATAACATTTAGTTAAGAATACTATCAAATTTTATATTTAAAAAACAAAATCTTTTGTAAGTGTTTGATTATTCGAGTTGTTGGTTATTTGAGTTATTTTTTAGGTATGGACTAGATTATGGTTTCCATAGATTTTTTTGTTGATTCAAGACATGCATTGCCTTCAGATAATATAAAACACAATAACACTAATGTCCAGTTTACTTTTGATGTTTGATAAAATTAGTATGGTTCTTAAAAATATCTTTCAGCTTCTGTGTTTCTGAAAGTCTCTAATCACAGAAATGGGTGTGAGCCTCTGAATATTCTCTGAAGGACACAAACACATTGTATCCTTTAACATGAAGGAATGCCTACTAATAAGGTGTCTTCCACCACAACAGGCTTTATCTCACCAAGAATGAAAGGAACGCAGCCATTACGGAGAGCAGAAAAATTAAAGATTAAGTAAAATTAGAATTAGACTGCCATAGGCTCCTGTAACTCTCCTTTACTGGGTGCGTGTCTAAAAGAAACGAAATCAGAATCTGAGGAGATTTCTGCTCTCCCAGGTTCACTGAAGCATCATTAACAAGAAGCAGAGAGTGAAAACTCTCTAACACCCTTCAACCGATGAATGGATAAAGACATACACACGAAAGCATAGTGTTTAAAAGAAGATGAAATCCTGTCATTTGCAACAGCACAGAGAGAACTGGAGAGAATTACATAAGTGAAATAAGCCAGGCAAGGAAAATGTTCCTGATCTTACATATGGAATCTAAAAGATTTATCGTATAAAAGTTGAAACCAAATGGTGATTGTCAGAGGTCAGTGGAGGTGTGTGTGTGTCTGCGTGTGTGTGTGTGTGTGTGTGTGTCTGCATGTGTATGTGTATGTGTGTGTGTGTGTGAGAGAGAGAGAGAGAGGGAGGGAAGGAGGGAGAGAGGGAGAGAGAGAAGCCAGAAGGGATGCTTAATTGTTCTAGAAAATGGTTAGCATTAGCCTGATTGGAATCTCACAGTGCACACATATGTCAAAGCATCATGCTTCCCCATTAATATGCATTGATTCTATGATTTGTGTACAAGTTAAATGTAAATGTGACTTAGAAGTTTCCCTTCCCAAATTTTACAGGACCAGGCAAATAAAAATAAAGATTTCAGCTTGATTATTCCGTTCCAACCTATCAATCATTTCATGCTGCATACCCTAGTAAAAACAAGAATTTTCAAAAGTCAACAAAATATGTCTACACTTATGTACATCAAAGAATGAAAAATTTTAATAGCAAATGTGTGTTTGGGGGAGGACTCCGCTGCATGGAGGAAAGAAAGCTGAAGAGGGTCTTCTGATGGTCCAGGTAGCTACTAAGAACTGGGCAGCTGGCCTCGGGCCTTTCTAAACACAGTAAGGGCTAGAGAGATGTCTCAGCACTTAAGAGCACTGACTTCTCTAGAGGAACAACATTCCCTCCCCAGCACCCCAATGGTGGCTACCAACCATCTGTAACTCCAGTTCCAGGGGATCCAACACCCTCTTCTGGACTCCATGGACTCAGAAAATTGTTTTCTTAGATTAAAATAATAAATACCAAAGTATATAGACTTAAATAGTAAGCCACATAAAGCATTTTAAGAGCATCAGAAGCGGAAAGGAGACCAGGGAAGTGTCTGCAGTTTGCATAAACATTCGTGATGAACTTACATCACTGGTGATGGGGAAGAAGGCTTTGATGAAAATAATATGGTAGCTTGATACTCATCATATCTGTGTTGGAGAATGCAGTCTCAGGCTAAAAGACACTAATCTTCAGATGGGCATCCCAGGTTCCAAGACTGTGTCTTAGCAACTTTCTTATAAAAGCCAATCTCTAGTTAAATGATGGCTGTGTGGATTAGAAACATCCCCATCCCTAGGGTTCTGGCTCTGTATGAGATTCTTATGGTCATTACCTCACTGCTCAGTCTAATGAGCCCTGAGATTCCCTGGGCTGCTGTTGTGTGAGTTAACTGTATCTCAGTTCTTGCTAGAAAGCTGACCTGCAATCTGTAGGCTCCAAAACTCTCAGGCCTGGGGCATACAGCAGCCCAATTTTTTAAAAATTTACTTTGGATTGATTAATTTGGAATTTTGTCTGCCAACCAATTCCCATGTCTCAGCCTCTGCCTGAATGAAAAGCCTGCCTAGTTTTAACACAACAATGTTCCTGAAATGATAGATGTTGAAGTATCGACACCAAGCTACCTGGAAACTGTAGAAAAAACACACTCTTCATAATGCTACAGAGGCCGATGCATACCCAAGTGTCTGGTAACAACTCAGGCAATTTATGTACGGTCCCATACTTAAACATTTCTCTAGAAAAAAATAAGCTGTTATTCTTAGTGACTGACAATACTTATAAGTTGCTTTCCTCAAGGCATAATTCTTTTGCATTATTAGTTAAAACAGAATTATGTCTCTTTCCCACTTCCCATCTCTCCTCCCAGCCCCTCCCAGATGCCCTCCTCCAGTCCTTCCCAAGTCTCCACCAACCTCTCAAATCAATAGTCTCTTTTTCTTTATTATCGGTATATAAATATAAAATATATATAATTATAAATATAAAAGTATAATTTTAATAACAAAATATACAATTCTCAAATTAAGGAACTTTAAATACTTGCTTTAATCTGCTTGACTATGAATGACATACAGAAGACAAAGTCAGGTCAAATAATATGAAAATGTTACTTTAAATAATCAGAATACAAAATGAACAATTAAATTAAAATAGATTAAATAGAATTCATTTATTACCATGAAGAGAAATGTAACTTTGGTTCTTTTCTACCACATGTAGAGAAAATTAACAAAGCATAAACAGCCTCCAAAAATTCTATTTCACAATTTTTTCTCATTGCACTTAAATTTTATTTTCCCGTATTTGTGTATACATGCATAACAAGCACACATAGCAAAAGTAAATTTTCTTTTTTTTTTTTTTTTTTTTTTTTTTATCATTAGTTTTTTTTTTCTTTTTCTTTTTTTATTTTTTTTAATCATTTTTTATTTTAATTTTAAATAGCTTGTTTCACATGTCAATCCCAGTTCCCTCTCCCTCCCCTCCTCCCGCACTCCCCTTCCACCCTCCCTCCCACCCTATTGCCAAATCCCTCCACATAGGGGATGTCTAGAGTCTATCATT